TATGTGTATCAATGTATTTTTAAATCGGTATAATCAAAGGCAGCCTGTATTTGGGAGTAAATTTGTCGGTGAATGGAACATTGAGTGATGAATTGAAACGAAGAAGAGCTGAGGGAAAGAAAATAATAAGTGTACTCAGAGAGAGACGAGTGTGAAGGAAACACTGATAACACTGATGGGAATGTATAGGGAAGAAGCAAAGGAAAAATAATGGCCTTGAGAGAAACATAATACAGTACAGTATACAGAAATAAGGTATGATTACAAAACTGCACAACAATGAGATATGGAAGTGTCTTACAAAGGACATGATTGGTGATGAGTGTGTATAGTTAAGAAGAATGTAATAGTAGAAAGATGATAGAAGACTCAGGTTATAAATGGTTAGAGTGAGACAAAGGAGATGGACAGCAGAGTGCATACATAATTGGAAAGGAATATGTCAAGTGGTTTATGCATGCTACTGGTTGTATGATGTGAAAAATAAAAAACCAAAAGGATAACTGGAGGCTGTATTTTGTAAGAGTTAAAAAAAGAGGAAGGCAAATTTCAACTACAGCTACTCCCCGACATACGACCGCCTCAGTCGTACCAAAATTTTGTCAAATTAGGTATTTTAGAGTCCCAACGTCAGTGATTGCGGTGTACTGACAAAATTTTCGTTTGTAATTCACTTTAAAATGGCTGGCAAGCTTAAAAGTGAGAGTTTTGTGGTGCTGAGAAGAAAGAGGGAGGCCCATTTAAGATTTTCTATATTATTTAAGCATTTTCAACTTACGACCTGGATTTGGGTCCCTAACCCCGTCATAAGTCGGGGAGCAGCTGTATTTAAGCTAAATTTATAATTGGACAAATGCTTTCAACCACCTGTTACCTGTAGTAGTCTTTTGTTATACTTTATGCATATATATTACAAATTGTCACATATGATGAATCATTCTGCTGCAGGTATTTCTAATAACTCTTGTACATGTAGTTTTATGCTGCAATTATTTTTGTTTAACATATATTTTCTCATACTGTATAATAACTTATTTATTGTACACATACTGGTGTACAGGGTATATGACTAACATTCATACATACACATGTGCCCCCTATAGCTCTTCTTTCTTTGCCTAAAAGTATATGGATTCAATTCCCTCCCTCTCACTTGTACTATATAAACTTCATCCTATCTTGTTCTCTCCATATTATTAACCCCTACGCCCCAGAACGGTTAACCGGTGCGCCCCAGGTGACGTTCCAGAATGCGCGTTTCTCCCCCCCCCCCCTCTTCCACCCCAATCAAGCGTCGTCGCCGCGGGTTGGATGGTAGCGAAATAAGGACAGAACTTTTTGATTTGAGTACTTTAGTGGTCGATTCTGGTGAAAGTGGTGATGAAGGCAGCGATTATCAGCCTAGTGACCAAGAGGATAGCATCAAGTTAGACGATGTTGTGTCAATCAGTGAGGAAGAGGACACAAGCAGTGAGGCCCAGCCAGAGCGCCGTATCCCCTCCAGGCGCTCACGACCCAGACAAGGGACAATGGATGCCTTTGTTTGGTTTGATGGTAGTAATTTCCAGCCTGATATCCCTGATTTCAGAAGATCGTCAGGTGGAATTACTCCTGAATTTCCTTGTACAGAGGAATCACGTGATAGATTATTTTTGTGTGTTCTTTGATGGTGAAATTATGGACTTACTGTGTAAGGAGACAAACAAATTTCATCAGTACACGTGTGAGGTTGACCTCGAGTCTGACCCCTCACCACACATGCGTCGATGGAATGATGTCGGTGTTGTCAAACTGTATGTGTTTTTTGCATTACTAATGCTGATGGCACATGTTAGAAAACATGTACTTCAGGAGTATTGAATATCTCCTGATGATATCACTGCAACTCCATTGTTTGCAAAATTCATGTCCAGAGACCGGTTTGCCTCCATCCTACGTTATCTACACTTTGTAGATAACAACATTCCTGTGACTAGTGATAGACTTTGGAAAATAAGGTTAGTTTTTACGATGCTGAAGGAACGCTTTACGAAGTTCTTCAGACCTTTTCAAAACATAGTGGTGGACGAGTCTCTGGTGCTTTTCAGAGGACAAGTTGTTTTTAGACGAAACATTCCCTCCAAATGACATCGCTTTGGGATCAAGTCCTTTGTGCTGTGTGACTGCGATACTGGGTATGTTTTAGATCTCATAGTTTACACAGCAAGTGACGTAGACATACCCAAGGACGACCCACATGGTTTCTCTGGCGCTGTTGTCAAGAAATTTATGGACCGCTACTTTGGAGGGAATCACATCCTCTACACTGATAATTATTATACCTCTCCTGCTTTGGCCAAGTTCCTACTTAAACATGACATCGGTTCTTGTGAAACTGTATGCAAGAACCGAAAACACTGGCCCGTGTTTACTCGCAAACCTGTCCGAGGAGAGGTCCAGCTGAAACAAGCAGACAAGATGCTTGCAATATGCTGGCAAGATAAGCATACTGTGCAGATGCTGTCAACCATGCGCAAGGGTGAAATGGTTGACAGTGGAAAAATGGACTGACCTCAGGAGAGGTAATGAAAAAACCCGACGCTGTCGTGGACTACAATGTCAATATGCGCCTCGTGGACAAGAGTGACATGCAGGTTGGCTCAATTGAGTGTGTAAGGAAATGTCTTAAGTGGTCCAAGAAGATGTTCCTACACCTCATGGACATCACCACCCTGAATGCATACAACTTGTACCTAGTAAAAAACAAAAAAAAACCCTCTCTCAGGGTTTTTCAGAAGCAATTGATATTGCAAATCCTGGCACCATCGTGGCAGCTGCACCACGACGTCACAACCAAGCAGGCCTACATGACAGATTGCTTGCACGTGACTGGGTTGTTCGTCACAACATGGATTTCTTACCAACAGGTCCAGGTGGTTGTAAGGGGCAAAGGCGGTGTTGTCTATGCTAACACCACAAGGCGCGCAGCTAAGCGTAAGGACGTGACAATGTGGTGCAAGGAATGTGACGTTGGTCTCTGTCCACCTTGCTTCGTGGAGTACCACTCCAAGAAAACATTCTAAAACAATGTGGCACGTGCTTGTAAATAGTAGTTATAAGTGTATTTGTAAGGAACAAACTAACATATTTGTAGAAAAGGTACACAGTTGTACGCATTTACTCGTCTCTACCCACGGGTGCTAGCATACACCCAGGGTCAGGGTGGCAACACACCACCCACCCACCTCACTTATCTACGAGTGGGAGGAGGGAAACTTCTTGGTAAGTACCTCCTTTTGTTTGTTCATTTACCAGTGTTTGTCCTTTTTGTCATGTTGTATCAAAGTAATATTACTAAAAGTAGTGTAGTTGTGTAGTATTAAGAGATGATAATGGTATGAATGTTTTATTTGTGGAATTATTATTCCGATAATTATTTATGACTTACTTGCTCTACCAAACACAAAGACAACCAGACAGTCTGGTGCCGAACAGTCTTTACGAAAATTAATGCAAATAAAATAAATTCTACATGAATGACTGTATTTAGGGTATAGGAAATAAGTATTATTTGGCCATCTTGGACACAAAGGAGACGGGAAAAGGACCTCTACTGCATAGTGACAGCGAGCTGCTCCCTGTAAGAAAACCTACAATTCTCCTTATTTCACTCATCACTGAGGGACAATACAGGCATCCCCACGTTACGGAAGCCCGGGTTATGGAATTTCGCTCTTACGGAATTTGTAAATTATGACCAATAATTTTGCGTTACGGCCGGTAAATCCGCCCTTACGGAAATTGGGGTAAATTTTAAGTTACAAAAAAAAAAAAAAAAAAACTAAATTTAAATTTTTTTGTTAAAAATGATTATTTGTTTGGTGTGGATTTCTTGGTGTTTGCTACTGCCAAGTGTGGCATCGCAACGCGGAGTCAGTCCATTGTTTACATCCAGTGTGTGCTCATGTTTCTCGCCCCAGCAGTTGGATTTAACTGCTTTAAAGCATCCAAGGATCGTTTAACACTTCTTCTGGGAGGAAATGCTTCAGGTGACATGAAATTAAAGCCCCTACTTGTGTATCACTCAGAAAATCCAAGGGCTCTCAAGGGCTATGCCAAGTCTAATCTACATGTGATTTGGCGTTCAAATAAGAAGGCTTGGATGACTATGAACCTTTTCCAAGACTGGTTCACTAACTATTTTTGCCCTGCTGTAGAAAGATATAATGCCAGGCGTAACATATCTAATAAAGCATTGCTCCTCTTAGACAATGCACCAAGCCACCCAGTAAATTTAAATGATCTTTCTGATAATGTGAGAGTGGAGTACATCCCCAAGAACACAACTTCCTTGCTCCAGCCAATGGATCAAGGTGTGATAGCTAACTTTAAGGCCTAAAAAAATTCCGTAGGAACGCATCTCTAGTTTTATAATGGAAGTCAATGGGAAAATAGGTTTCGCGTTACGGAATTTTGCGATACGGTCAATTTTCCAGGGACGGAACCCTTCCGTTTTTCTTACATCTTTTTCTTTATTTTATCATTTATAAAGAATAAAATTTATTTTTGGAAAAATTTATTTCCCCGTTTTACCCCGCGTGGGGGGTACGGCCAGCACCACCCTAGCCCAGGGCATAGGGGTTAAACACCTTGCAAACAGTTCTTCATTAAACTGTAGGTGCGCGTGATCCAGGTATATGCTGATAACCACAAGGAAAACGAAAACACGAAGTTCCCAAGCGCTTTCGTGTAATTCACATCTTCAGGGGTGAGCACAGTCTGTACTCACCCTTGAAGATGTGAATTACACGAAAGCGCTTGGGAACTTCGAGTTTTCTTTTTCCTTGTGGTATATATATATATATATATATATATATATATATATATATATATATATATATATATATATATATATATATATATATATATATATATATATATATATATATATATATATATATATATATATATATATATATATATATATATATATATATAATGGTTGTCATCAAACCCCTTCATCAGTTACAGTCTGGTTTAATACTGTACATTCCTCCTTCACATACAATGGTTCAGTAAACTCCTCCTCCATATGTTGGATCAATACACTCCTCTTTCACATAAATTGTTTCAATAAGCTCCTCATTCACATATCTTGGTTCAAGAAACTCTTCCTTTACACACACTGGCTCAGTACACTCTTCTGTCTCACACACTGGCTCAGGAAACTCTTCCTTTACAAACACTGGCTCAGGAAACTCTTCCTTAACGTGCACTGGGTCAATACATTCTTCCTTCAAATAAATTGCTTCATTCCTCACTAAACATGATGTGTCATTTATCTCCTTTGCATTTCCTTCAAGCTGTTTATGTACTGGAAACACCAGCTGATGTGGCTTCTCATATGAATGAAAAAACTTCATGTGTGTCTTCAATTGCTGAGCAGAGGAGTAAATTCCTTCACATATATCACAGTGGAACATCCTCTTTTCCACAGTAACATCAGCATCTCGGTCATGTTCCACAGACACATTAGACACTGAAGCCTCAGATGAAACATTGTGAGGCTTAACAATTCTGTGTGAACGAAGTCTCTTTTGGATAGGTATAGCTTCTTCATCTCCGGGTATTGATTGGTTCCCGCTGACAGCACCCTGTGAAGGGAAAAGTAACATCATATCTGTATATTCTGTGCAACAACATAATAATCATTAAAACTGTCTTGTATAGGCCATGATACTCAAAATACAATCAACCGCACAACAAAATTTGTAAAATGGCCACCATGCTTTTGAATAGTTTAAAGTCTATTATAATAAGGACTCTCTAATACACACAGTATTTTGTTATGTCCTTGTATCAAATTTAGATTTTTCTACTCAATTTACTTTGAGAAAAAAAATAATAAATAAATCATGTTGAACGTAGTCATGTAGGAATAAACTTGATTATGGCACAAACCCACATATTCCTGTTACATTACAGTACTGTACCATTTTCTCATGATTTGAGTTTCCCAATACAGGGTATATAAATCTCTTAATTTATGCAAAGTACTGTATACACATTATTTTTTATAACTTTCTTCAACACTTAACCCTTCCTACTAATACATGACACACACACTACAGTACTTAGCTAACAATTATAAGAGCCAAAGTGACCCCTTTAACACAGTTAAGTACTGTACTTGTGTCTGCAATATTCAATTATCAACTCAGTTAGGAATGGTTAACTTCCAACTGACTTTTAATGTCACTTACAAGTTCCAATATGCAGTTAAAAAAAAAAATATCTGCGCTACTTTTATCGCTGTTCATGAGAAATACTGTGCTGTACAACATAATTAACAATCCAAGACAAATGCCATCACAGAGTTGAGATCAAATGGATAATATACAGCGTCTGGCTGTTCTTTAGAAACAACATTGAGTACCGGGTAATTCTGGCTTCAACCTTCCAATAGTTTTAAGAAAAATTTTCATTATAAAGTGATAAGACAAAAATGAGAGAGAAAACAAATGTGTACTGTATAGCTACAGCACACAGCAGCCTATAGGCTTTACCATTTTTTTTAATACAGGTGCTCCTCTACTTACGAACGAGTTACGTTCCTGAGGCTTGTTTGTAAGTCCAACTTTACTCTTCTAGATACCAAACATATTGTAAAAAATGAAAAGATTATGGATATTTAGTACAGCTATACCCTTTAATACAGCCTTAAAACCTGGCTCACTCTTCTCCTCTTAGGTAATGTTTGTTCTATCTGGAATTTTTTTCTAAATAATCCAGTCTCATCCACATTAAAACACCTGTTCTGGCAGGTAACCCCCTCAGTGATGATGTTTGTATCTCTGAAAGTTTGTAAGTTGAACGTTCTTAAGTAGAGGAGCAACTATATATAAAAACTATGTAGTATTGAAATTTAAGACATACACAAAATATTATTTACGGAACTTTAAAGGAGGGTGAATTTTGCTTCACAGGATATCCTTAAGACAGGAGGCATGTGTTCTATTCACTCAGCCACTGCACTCCTTGACAGGAGGAGGAATAAATAAATGAGAGAGAAGTAAAATGTGTACATTTGTAATTTGCTCTTGCTTTTGGCCATCTTGCATCAAGTGGGAAAACTTTTTAAAATTCACTCCTTACATTTTCACCATTCAAGCTCCTCTTGCACTGTGGGTTCACTGAAGTAGCGGTATTATCAGAGTATTCAAGGTGTCGAGTTGGGTTTACATTCTTGTTGTCAAAAGGAGCTGAAGGATTACCTGCAAAGATGAAAATCAACAGAATATGATGCATAAAATCTGCCAGGAGGTTGGGTAACCTTACCCACATGTTGCCGAATGCTAAGCACAGTACTGTACTGTATACAGTGGTCCCTCGGTTAACGAATGGTTCGATTAACAAAATACCTCCCATAAGGATCTTCAATTTGGTTAACGAACAAAACTTCAATTAACGAAATCATTATGACAAACACGTTTTGTTGTGAGCATCAGCTGATCAGCTGATGGGCTAGTCTGCCAATTCAGTAATCTGTTCTATGTTTACATTCGTGTCCTGTGGAGTAAATATCACGAAAGTTGTGCTCTTTAATATTTTTGCATTTTTTTATATTAAAAATATTAGTCATTTTAAAATTTTGTTAACATATTGATAATACAGCTCCTCCCTGACTTACAACCTACTCGACTTACGACCACCCGGACATACGACCGCCTCAGTCGTACCAAAATTTTGTCAAATTAGGTATTTTCGAGTCCCAACGTTACTGATTGCGCTGTGTACTGACAAAATTTTAGTTTGTAATTCACTTTAAAATGGCTGGCAAGCTTAAAAGTGAGAGTTTTGTGGATCTGAGAAGAAAAAGAGACACCCATTTTAGATTTTCTATGTATTATTTAAGCATTTTCGACTTACGACCATTTCAACTTACGACCTGGATTTGGGTCCCTAAGCCCGTCGTAAGTCGGGGAGGAGCTGTATATGCAGTACAGGGAACTAGTTCTTTGTGCGCCCATCAGCCACTTGACTCATTCACCAGGCGTCAGTGTGGCTTTGTTTACAGTGGAGTGAACATCGATTTTGTTGGTGTCTTGAATATTTTTGCATTTTTACATTAAAATTATTGGTCATTCTGAAATTTAGTTAACATATTGATAATATATAGCACAGTGCAGTGTTGATTTAAATAAAATAATCTTGAATTACACCTAGTGAACTTAAAATTTTATTGGTGAAATTACTGCATCAAGCATGGGTCCCCTGAAAGGTGATTTCTCCTCCATCCCCACTTCCTTCTCTTCTCCCTTCTCCTCCACCCCCACTTCTAATTCCCATCATCATCAACCAGGAACCTTCTACATACACACCTTAAAGTAAGTGTACTGTACTGCATTTTTTTTTTACTTTGTATGTACTTATCTGTGAGCTGTAACCAATTACCCAATATCCCATTGAAACAATGGATTTGGTTAACGAAAGACTCTGTGGAACGAATTGTGTTCGTTAACCGAGGGACCACTGTGCCAGGTACAGGTATATATTAAATGCAGTTAAAGGATGAAGGATACATTTAAAGTGGGAGGGATGGACATGCTAGTGATCCAAGTTTCTCTCAACTGGCTCTACTGTATTACAAAATGCTTTTTTGGATCAAACCCTTATTTATACCTTAGCATCGCTACAGAGTGATCTGAGAATCAGAAGTCAGCTATCAAAAAAGGAGGATACATAAAAACTTAAAGTGCTATGCAATTTGCACCCCAATGGAAGCCCTAAAAAATGGGTAGCACTGAGGAGTTCAGTTATTTTCTTGGAGATTTTCTCTTGGATGTTTCATAAATACTAAATCTTGCACAGAAGAATGCCTTAACAGCTACTACAGTACTATATATGGTACATGACTTATCAGAGATAAAATGAACCAACCTAACCAATTTACAGTAGTATCACCAATGAATCATTAATGGAGCGGTAGCTGGTAAGTTTTTTAAAGTGTTCTCATGGTTGACATAAAGAATCCCAGATATGAAAGTGGAGGTATTGGCATTGCCGTGAGTGGTTGTAGATCAGTGTTTGGGACGGGAAAAATTTTAAGATCATCACAATGCAAATGGCTAATCCTCCACACTTTATAACATTTTCATGTGGTAAGAAAGCATTTTCTTTAAAGATTAAATTCCTTAAGTTGCTGGTTAACATGAGATACTCTTGTCAAGTATTAACAAAAATAATCACTGGCTCACTGATAATTAAGTGATTTGAACAAACCCTGACATCCTCTAAGTTCTTTCCTGTGAAGCTTTGGTTTCATTGGTTAAACCACAGCTTTCACTATCTAGGACTACCCGGTACCCCCTCACAGTTCTGCCCCTGGTTCTTTAGCTCTGCTGGCCAGAGATGGTACTGATTAAGAATAGCAACGAATTGGAATTGAAGTTAAAATTTTTTTAAAAATTAAGTGAAATGAATTGGAATTGATGTGATGAATTGATGTTAATTTATGTTATATCCAATAAAATGTGTTCACTGACGAGGCCAACTTATTATTGATACCAGTACCGGTATTTTTTCAAAGTTTGTTCAACATATCTAATGTGTGAAACCAGTTTCACACTTGAATTTTTCAAAGTGCTACAGTAAACCCTCGAAGATCCGGACAAAAATTTTGGGGCTTTTGGGATAAGAAGCCTCCTAGAGGTTTTCCCTAAGAAACATTCCCAAACCAGAGCAAAGAACATTTTAGGCCAGTGGATACTGCTTGACCCATTAGTTGCTTGGACACAGGTGCCCGAGGACGTGGGAAACATAAACAGATTTGACAATTGTTGTTTTTGGAAATATTATTTCATTCACTCTAGTAATGATACAATGTTTCTTCTTATGTTATCATAGGTAAATGCATGGTTTATAAACTGTAATTTGTTTATCACTACATTAGTAATGTATTTTTGGTGTTTAGGTTTTGTTTTCAAGTTACGGACATCAGCCATCATGTCCACTATAATGTATGAAAATCATCCTTTGTATGTGGGGTTTGGAGATCCTTAACAGTAAGCTTATGTTCTAGTTCTTGGTCAAGAGAACTTTTTGAAGATTTATTCATCATCCTTTCATTGTCAAAAAGATACGAGATTATTGTTTAATCATACTGCAGCAATTCTTCCATCGAGCTACCCCTAGCACGCGCTACTTCTATGACACGTTTCTGGTAGCCGCGACCCTTTGTTTTAGGCAACTTTCCAGTGGCTTTTCCTGATTTAGTTTGTGTATGCTCTTCCCACACTTTTTGCCATGTATATTGGTAAAGTTTAAGAATGTGAAGAGAAAATTAGGGTACAGTTCATGCACATGAACACCCTCCCAGCCAATGGACTATTATGAAATTTCTATCTTTGAAGCATTGTTGTTGTTTTTTTTGTTTTTACGGGAATTAGCCCGCCCGGGCACAGGTCAAACGACCCACAACGGGGCCTGGGGGGCGAAAAAAAAGAACAATGTTTTTTGTTAGCAGTTCTCTCGCTCTCCTTCCCCATTCTTAGCTTTCTTCATCTCGTCTTTTTATTTTTTTATTTTTAGCAAATATCACAAATACTACTCACCCCCCGGCGCTTGATTGACGGGGGAATGTGGAGGCTTCTGGTGGGTGAAGTTGGTGGGGGTTGGTAGGGGGGCTGATGGCTGTGCATATTTTCCTCACCCGTCAAGACACTCTAACAGTTCAACTAAGGAGCCTCGTTGGTTTGGGTCATGGTTGGTGGCGCAGACCAGCCATCCTCGTACATCTTGGTGGAGGCGGCTCAGCTTTTCATGCAGAAGATACTGCATGAGGCGACCGATGCTGTAGACGTCGGCCTGGTGGGTGAGTTGACTGCTTTTGACCACCTCAGGGGCCATGTGGAAGGGTGCCATTGTTCCTGGGGGAAATGGTAGGCATCCCCCGACCTGGACAGCTAAACCAAAGTCAATGAGAGTAGTTTGGATCCCCTGGGCAGTCTTTTGGATACAAATGTTATTGATTTTAATATCATTGTGCACCCATCCCCGAGCCCTCATCTCAGTCAGTGTCCAGCTGACCTGTTGTACGATCTGGAGGCGCTCTGAGAAGGTGCAGTTGTGAGTGTCTAAGTAGGTGTCCAAGGACTTCCCGGCGAACTTTGTGATTAAAGCGGGCTTCCAGGGACAAACCCCGACCACCTTCTGTAGACCTGGGACACCCTGCAAGGCGGACAGAGCTTGGATTTCCCCGTAGAGACTCTCGATGTCAGGACCATCCTCTGGCACGAGCTTGATGACCCAGTAGCTTTTTGAGACCTCAACACTGTAACATGTGCCAAAAGCCCCGCTACCCAAAAGCTTACAGCAGGTTGGGTCGGCTACCAGTTCATAGAGCTGAGCTCCAAACACGTTGACGCCGTATCCCTCGCAGGCATCCAGAAACACTCGCACAGTTTGATCTGAGATCATCTTGCGATTAGTTATATTGAAGTGTACGACCACTGAGGACCTCAATTCGAAAATCAGCTAGTAAAACATAAATACTGTACAGAATAATGAGGTTGGAACTTTGTTATACAGTAACATAGTTATGATAATACAGTATTGTAGTATAGATGATGATGTAGTGATGATGGATGTTGTTATATGTAGTGATGATGGATGTTGTTATATGTAGTGATGATGGATGATGTTATATGTAGTGATGATGGATGTTGTTATATGTAGTGATGATGGATGGTGTTATATGTAGTGATGATGGATGGTGTTATATGTAGTCATGATGGATGGTGTTATATGTAGTGATGATGGATGGTGATATATGTAGTCATGATGGATGGTGTTATATGTAGTGAAGATGGGTGGTGTTATATGTAGTGATGATGGATGCTGTTATATGTAGTGATGATGGATGATGTTATATGTAGTGATGATAGATGGTGTTATATGTAGTGATGATGGATTATGTTATATGTAGTGATGATGGATGGTGTTATATGTAGTGATGATGGATGTTGTTATATGTAGTGATGATGGATGTTGTTATATGTAGTGATGATGGATGATGTTATATGTAGTGATGATAGATGGTGTTATATGTAGTCATGATGGATGGTGTTATATGTAGTGAAGATGGGTGGTGTTATATGTAGTGATGATGGATGTTGTTATATGTAGTGATGATGGATGTTGTTATATGTAGTGATGATGGATGGTGTTATATGTAGTGATGATGGATGGTGTTATATGTAGTGATGATGGATGGTGTTATATGTAGTGATGATGGATTATGTAGTGATGATGGGTGGTGTTATGTAGTGATGATTGATGGTGTTATATGTAGTGATGATGGATGGTGTTATATGTAGTGATGATGGATGATGTTATATGTAGTGATGATGGATGTTGTTATATGTAGTGATGATGGATGATGTTATATGTAGTGATGATAGATGGTGTTATATGTAGTGATGACAGATGGTGTTATATGTAGTGATGATGGATGTTGTTATATGTAGTGATGATGGAAGGTGTTATATGTAGTGATGATGGATGTTGTTATATGTAGTGATGATGGGTGATGTTATATGTAGTGATGATGGATGGTGTTATATGTAGTGATGATGGATGGTGTTATATGAAGTGATGATGGGTGGTGTTATATGTAGTGATAATGGATGATGTTATATGTAGTGATGATGGATGTTGTTATATGTAGTGATGATGGGTGGTGTTATATGTAGTGATGATGGATGGTGTTATATGTAGTGATGATGGGTGGTGTTATATGTAGTGATGATGGATGGTGTTATACGTAGTGATGATGGATGGTGTTATATGTAGTGATGATGGGTGGTGTTATATGAAGTGATGATGGATGGTGTTATATGTAGTGATGATGGATGGTGTTATATGTAGTGATGATGGATGTTGTTATATGTAGTGATGATTTGTTGGTGTTATATGTAGTGATGATGGATGGTGTTATATGTAGTGATGATGGATGATGTTATATGTAGTGATGATGGATGGTGTTATATGTAGTGATGATGGATGGTGTTATATGTAGTGATGATGGATGGTGTTATATGTAGTGATGATGGATGATGTTATATGTAGTGATGATGGATGGTGTTATATGTAGTGCTGATGGGTGGTGTTATATGTAGTGATGAAGGGTGGTGTTATATGGCACAGTTAATATCTTGCCCACTAAATTCAGACTGACATCAGTCTACTTGCCAAATATGAAAAATATTCAAAAAGGACTTAATATAAAAAATCACGTAAAAATGTGGTTGGCATTGAACTGGAATTGAAAAGCACATGAATTTAACTGGATTTGATCAATTCTTACTTTGTCAGAATTTAAATTGAATTTAGTAAATTTGCAGTTTTGTACAACCATTGAATATCTGCATTTCTTTTTTACCAATCAGTAGTTCTGACAATTCTATGACACTTTTCTTCTATGAGGTTTTCCTTTCAAATGACTAAACATGACCTAACCTAACGTCCAAACCAGCATCTAAAGCAATTTGCGAGTGAACCGTCATTGAAGAAAAGTGTCACAGATTTGTCTGAACTATTGATAGGTTAAAAAGAAATGTAGATAATCCGTGGCTGTACGTTACTGCAATAATAACTTGAATTTGAATTGACAAAATGGAATTGACCACAGCCCTGTGCTGGGACTCTGTAATGAGCAGTTATGAAGATATGAAGAGGGAAATTGTGGGGCAAGAACATGCAAAAAGCAGACCAAACTTAACCTAACTTTGGTATTATTTTACTTTAGGACATAGCGCGCCCAAAAGTTATAAACTATTGAAACATTTAGATCTCTCTATTCTATGCATTTTGAACCCCATTTATACCTGGCAGAAATGGATAATAGCGACACAATTGAATTTAACTGATTTTACAGAGTTTTCAGTCTTTGTCTGTGAGATGTTATCGGCGCATCACGCATGCGCAATATTGACTGATATCATCCAGTAATGACCAATGATGTATCAATAGCATCACATTTGATTTTTTTTTCAAAGGAAGCATTCTGGGTACGATTTTAATTTCGTTGACCAGTCTCACAATGGCCGTGGTCGAGGTTGGTTGTCATTTGTGCCCCTACAATTATTTTAAGTTTATTGCCGAGTTTTACGAAACAGACGATCATGCTATTCAATTCTTACGTATCCCTGGTCCTTCCACTTCTAACTATGGTATTGTACTTTCAGGCATGGCACACCCCAAAGTTTTAAACAACTGAAACATTTAGGTTAATTTAAGCTAGGCCTACTGGGGTTCTGGGGGCAGAGCCACAGGCTAGGGGTTAGGTTAGGTTTTGTTAGGTTAGATGACTCGTTTTCGTTTTCTCCCCCACCTAAAACCCCAGATTTCCCAGGCTCTCCCCCATTATTGTTGGGGGGGGGGGGGGGTAAACGAGCAATTTCCGCCAAAAATGAAGGTCAGATTCGTTTAAAACACACCAAAATACACTGGAAAAACATATTGGTCAACCCCTAGGGACTCGTGTCCTAAAGTAAAAATTTACCCTAACTTTACCTATATTATCAGCTGGAGGAGGATAAAGAGAAGCCACTTGTAGGAGGAAGTGGTGCAGTATGGTCTTGTGATCCTTGTGTTGCGCTTGGAACATGTACCGAGCAAAATATTGGCTGTAATTTTCCTTTATATTGCCGGCACGAAGCACACAATTTCTGATATCCTTCCACATGCATACTAAATTTTGTGTATGGACGCCTGTATAAGGCTCGACAAAGTTCCGACTGTGGTCGACAGTTCTGTGGATGTAACCAATATCATTAAGGGTGCTGTAAGCCTCCCCAATGTCGGTATGAATAACACTACCCAACTTTACAAAGTGCAAAATTTGCTGTATGAGAGCTTCAGCACTATGGTCAGCTACTGGTATGATGAATTTCCGTTTGGAGACGGCTTCTACACCCCCCAACACCCACGCTCCAGTCTCTTCACTGTCAGGATTGCTTTTGGATTTTCCTACTTTGATTTCACCCACTTCCACTACAACATCAAGCCCTCCTATGGGTTCCTGCTGGTTACTCAACCAATGTTCACAAACCTTAGAACAGTGTTTTTTCCAGTTCACGACATTTTCGAACGATACATTCAAGTTTTCGTCAATGTAGCGCTGAGAAAAGTGTTTCCTGATAAATGCATTACAAAATAACAAATTTTTCCACGGTGCTATGTGTAACTTGCCCATCCAAGTGTCCTTATACGCAGAAACTGAATAGCCACAATTAATGAGTTTCTTTCCCTTGTTAACACTGCGCTTTTTCGTGCAATACCAAGCGTGTTTATCTTGACGGTAACTGCAGTCTGCAAAACACTTGGAACACTTATGGGAAGTAGGCAGAATACCGTGGGCCATAAAAATGTCAATGGCAGCGGCGTTATTTTGATAAACGCTTTGAATGATTTGCCATTCTGACTGGGGACACTGACACACAGAAGACATCTTGAGACTGACCAGTCAATTCATGCAACAGCTGAAAACAATGCTGGATTATGGAGCAGAGGACTGAGGACGCAACCGCAGGTGTCCCAACGCTGCTCACTGCAGGAGCATAACATAAACAGTAGTGAGTGAACGCGGGAGCGGGACTGTGGTCGCCTAATATTTTTTTTTTTTTTTTTTGCTTTAAACCTCTTCACTATTGATCGGTTCGTTAGCAGCTTGGGCGATTGGTTACGTCTCTGTAACGCAATTACTTTTACTTTTATCCTCTTCACCAATGATCGGCTCGTTAGCCGCTTGGCCGATCGGTTATGTCTTTGTTACGCACTGTTGGCAAGTATTGGGCATGCACCAGCTCCTGAATGAACCTGAACTTTTTTTTTTTTTACGGGGATTAGCCCACCCGGGCACAGGTCACTAACCCACATCGGGGCCTGGGGGGCGAAAATGTAATAATGATAATAATTATAATAATAATAATAAAGAACGATAAAGAAATACTAAATGAAAAAAAGATCAAGAGTGAGAAACAATATGTTTGTTGTGTTGTCAAGGGTAAGAGAAACAATTGAGACCCTGCAATTGTGTGTAAATGAGGCGGTGAACGGTTATAAAGTCCAGGAAAAAAAGTAAGTTTTGGCTAGGAAAAAGTCACAGGAAAAAAATGTCACACTTAAGATAATAAAACTAAAAATATTTTAAAACAGTTATTAACTGACAATACATGACTTTGTAGCGGATTCCTCCCCTACAAGCACCGAACCTCGAATTCCCCAGCGCCACCCACAGAGCGGGAGTCAACTATCTACCCACGTCTACCCAGCCTTATAAGGCCTGACACCGCTGTGACCAGCCCCCCCTGTCACTCGCATTTTATGTATGTACTCTTCTTTCTACACAGTGCCAACAGCAACCAACTCCGCGCCAGCCGTGCGGCTGCCGCTCCCGCCAGCGACCTTGGCGTCGCCTCAAGCCGCGTGCCCTTGTGGGGTACGAGTTGTTGGTTCACACTCAGGATGGGATGGAGAAAGGAAACTCACAATGTGCTCTCTGTATACATATTGTATTGGATGTACAGTGCAGCTTGGTGCTGGGAAGTGGCAGCGTGGTTACAAGCGTGATGTAGAGAGAGCTGGTTGGTGAGGATGCTCAGAGGAGGACCAGCTTGTGGGTCGCCATGCTCGCTGGCGGGAGCGAGGGCCGCCAGGCAGGAGCGGAGGTGTTGTTACTTGAAGACTGGCCGTAGGTAGTAAGAGAGGTAGGTCACCACAAGGTCAGGTCTTATATAGCGGAGGTAGGCGTGGCTTAATAGTTGACCTCCGTCATGTAAGGCGGCGCTGGTTGACCTAGACCACGAGGCATACACTGGGGAATTCGCGGGGTCAGCTACTCAGCAACAAACAGCGTTTGTAGGGGAGGTATCCACTACAGTACTCCCTCCTTCCCTCCAGGCGGTGTAGGTGACTTGTTTCGTGCAGGGTTGCATGGCACATGTGAGGCAGAACGGGCGGTGCATGCCACATGTGAGCCATAACGGCGAGGGCGTGGATGAGCCGGCCGCTAAAGGAGACAACTGTCTAGATACACAATATCTGTGGGAGTAGAGAGGAAGAAAAAGGGTGTGTGGAGGCGATGAATGTTGTGCTTCCCTCACGGCAGGTACAGAGTCGTCAGATGCGCCTGCTGGGGTGTGTGGGCGGGCCTGGGTCAGGAGCAAGGGCTGCATCAGCAGGAGTGGAGGAGAGTCCGTGACAGCAGCAAGGTGCATGACAGCAGCAGGGTGCAGGACAGTAGCAGGGAGTACCTGAAGGAGAAAAGAGGGGTGTAGGAGACTTGTTGTCTGCAGAGTTGCTTAACACATGCGAGGCAGAACGGGCGGTGCGTGCCTCATGTGAGACAACGGCGATGGCGTGATGAGCCGGTCGCTGGATACAACTGTCTAGATACACAATATCTGTGGGAGTAGAGAGGGAGAATAAGGGTGTGTGGAGGCGATGAATGTTGTGCTTCCCTCACGGCAGGTACAGAGTCGACAGATGCGCCTGCTGGGGTGTGTGGACCTGGGTCAGGAGCAGGGGCTGTGTCAGCAGCAGCGGATGAGGGCTCGTGACAGCAGCTGGGTCCACGACAGCAGCAGGGTGCAGGACATTAGCAGGGAGTACCTGAGGGAGAAAAGAGGGGTGTGTGGGTCCGCACTCAGGAACAGAGGCCGCATCAGGGGCGGCAGGGGTTACTGCTGGGCCGGGGTCGGCGTCTGAGGCAGGACGGGTGTGCTGGGGTCGGTAGGACGTGGTGCTTGGGGCAGGAAGAGGAGCTGGTGTCTGCTTAGAGTAGCAGAGCTGCTCTAGGGTGTCTAACCTGCGGTGTAGAGACAGTAGCTGTAGAGCCGATGATAGCTGCTTCTGGGTGGATAAGCCAGTCTTCCATGTTGCTTGAAGACTGGGAGCGTGATCAGTTTCTCCTCCATCCTGTGTCAGTGCGAATCTCCGGGGATCACCATTTGTGGGGTACGAGATGTTTGGGTTCACACTCAGGATGGGATGGAGAAAGGAAACTCACAATGTGCTCTCTGTATATATATTGTATTGGATGTACAGTGCAGCTTGGTGTTGGGATGTGGCAGCGTGGTTACAAGCGTGATGTAGAGAGAGCTGGTTGGTGAGGATGCTCAGAGGAGGACCAGCTTGTGGGTCGCCATGCTCGCTGGCGGGAGCGAGGGCTGCCAGGCACGAGCGGAGGAGGTGTTGTTACTTGAAGACTGGCTGTAGGTAGTAAGAGAGGTAGGTCACCACGAGGTCAGGTCTTATATAGTGGAGGTAGGCGTGGCTTAATAGTTGACCTCCGTCATGTAAGGCAGCGCTGGTTGACCTAGACCACGAGGCATACACTGGGGAATTCGCGGGGTCGGCTACTCAGCGACAAACAGCGTTTCTAGGGGAGGTATCCACTACACCCTCACTCTGGGCACCCTCACCACCCAGCTCTCTCTACTCAACGATTATTACCATGTTACCTATCCAGCAACAAGCTGCATTGTACATCCAATACAATATGTATACAGTAAGCACATTGTGAGTTTCCTTTCTCCATCCCATCGAGAAGGTTCGGTGCTTGTAGGGGAGGAATCCACTACAACTTTTACATATTGACAATACAATTTATATATGATTCACACAGGTTAGGTGACTTTTTTATCTGGAGTCAAATGAGGCAGAGAGTCCAGCAACCTGGGACTTGGTCACATATGGCAGCAGGGTCTACCATTAGACAACACATTATGCTTCCAATATCTTCCCAGGTGGTAGTACCTCCCTGTTTAGTAGCTGCCTACAGTGTAGTGGATTCCTCCCCTACAAGCACCGGACCTTCTCGAATTCCCCAGCCTATGCCTCCAGCGCCGCCCACGGAGCGGGGGTCAACTATCTACCCAAGCCTACCCCCGCCTTTTAAGGCCTGACACCGCTGTGACCAGTCTCTTTCTACACAGTGCCACCAGCAAGCAACACCTCCTGCCTGGCGGCCCTCGCTCCCGCCGGCGAGCATGGCGACCCACAAGCTAGTCCTCTGAGCACCCTCACCAACCAGCTCTTTCTACATCACGCTTGTAACCACGCTGCCACTTCCCAGCACCAAGCTGCACTGTACATCCAATACAATATGTATACAGAGAGCACATTGTGAGTGTCCTTTCTCCATCCCATCCTAAGTGTGAACCCAACAACCCGTACCCCACAACAGCACTTGCTCCAGTGTTGGTCAAGTCTGGTCTTGAAAGAGCTCACACTCGGTGCGGTCACAACACTTTCTGGTAGATAGTTCCAAGAGTTCACAACTCTCTCTCCGAAAAAGTTTGCCCTCACAGTTTTCTGGATCTGCGGCTTCTTCAATCTTGAGCAGTGACCCCTTGTGGGGCGAGCGTCAGCCAGCTGTTTCCATATAATCTCTCATTTTAAAAAGACAGTAGATTAATATAATCTTTTTCTTTTCTATTTTTAATTTAATTAATCTTATTTTTTCGCCTTCTAGGCCCCGTGGAGGGTGGACGACCTGTGCCCAGGTGGGCTATTCCCTGTACGTATATATATATATAAAAAAAAAAAAAAAATTACTTGCCTACAGATTTTTAGTTTTAGAGACGTGACCGATCGCCCAAGCGGCTAACGAGCCGATCAGTGGTGAAGAGGATAAAAAATATAAAGGTAAAAGTAAAATGTTTCCCGGCCTTTCCTGTTCAGTTGTAACTGTCAATCATGTTACAATATTTACCTCCAGTGAATGCTTTTGTCATAATTGCTCATTGGTGAACCCTGTCATAATGTAATTTCCTCAAAAGAATAACGCTTGTCCTCAACTCACATATCTACTCATTTCTATATATCCATAAACATCTACGTAATTATACAACGCCTCCTTTACCGTATTTGATGTTTGTCAACAAAAATACCATTGGCAAAATGCCCATGTTAAAAGTATATCACAATGAGACCACTAATTAACAACCTTGTCTTACTACAACTAAAGCTAAAAAGTCATTAATAGGTTATGGTCGTCTGCTTATAAGAACAAACTACATAAATTTATGATCCCATTCCCAATATGCCGAGCTTATTGTGTCATTTGGACTTAATATAAAAATTAAGATGATGTGAGACACTGCTGAACATGGAATTAATCAAACCAATCAAAAATTCAACAGATATAATATACTGTAGCTGGAAGTTACTCACATACAGTGGCATTAGACCGACTACGATACAGAGGTCTTGGGAAAGGGTGCTGGTATTATCCAGCGCTACCTTTAATTTACTTTTATCCTCTTCACCACTGATCAGCTCGTCAGCCAGTTGGGCGATCGTTTACATGTCTGTTACGCACTGTTGGCAAGTATTGGGCATGCACTGGCTCCTGAATGCATCTGAACCTGCTCCAGTGCTTATCCACGCTGGTCTTGAAAGAGCTCACATTCGGTGCCAAGAGTTCACAACTCTCGCTACGACAAAGTTACC